GAGATGAAGCTGCTGCTGGACATGTACCGATCAGCACCCAAAGAGCAGAGGGACAAAGTCCAGCTCATGGCTGCAGAGAAAAAGTCCAAGTCTGAGGTGATGAATGCTACACAACACAGTCACCTACCTGCTGATATAGTTAAAGGTTTATTAAGTTTTAGATGTTGGCCTGTTCATTCCAGTTGATTATTTTTTTACATGTGTGGATGTTTGGATTTCTTCACGTGGTCAGACATAATGTTATACTTAAGTTAATTACTTGTAACCTTCCCATAACGATAATAGTAATATGCTGATTCCAGGGAGAGGAGCTGCGGCAGAGGCTAAGGGAGCTTGAGGAGCGGGAGAGGAGGGAGGGCAAGAAGATGGCAGATGAAGAGGCTCTGCGGAAGATCCGATCTGTGGAGGAGCAGATCGACATCCTCAACAAGAAGCTCTCGATAGCCAAACAGGTGTGTTTGGTTGTAATTGTGTTTCCTTGCACAAACCTGCTACCGGGTTCTCCTTTCGTTCTCTAACACCTAACATGCCCGTGCTCCGTCTGCAGGAGGAGGACGCACTGCTGAGTGAGATGGACGTGACAGGCCAGGCCTTCGAGGACATGCAGGAACAAAACATCCGGCTGATGCAGCAGCTCAGAGAAAAAGACGATGCCAACTTTAAGCTGATGAGCGAGCGGATCAAGTCCAACCAGATCCACAAGCTGCTGAAAGAGGAGAAGGAGGAGCTGGCAGATCAACTGCTCACCTTAAAAACTCAGGTCAGCCTTCAAGAGGAGGGGTAAAAGGATAGGGGCATGAACACACTGGTGTTTTGACATACACATAGTTAAATTGCAGTGATAACTACCTGCAGTTATTTCCTACTATCTTTGAGCTGTGAGTTTTATTTATCAACAAAAAATATTAAAAATGTTAAGATTATTAATAATCACCCCTTCACTGTTAAATACAGCTTCCGTGCCTTAGTTAATTGTTGTTGTTTTTTTGTAAAACCAAATTGTTTGCCCAGTTTTCAGTTAGTCATTTCTCACAATCCTTTTAATGTTTGTCCACTAGCATGTTATTTTATCTTTATTTCACTTTTTTGGGGGGGACTGTGCCCATGGACAGGTCGATGCTCAGCTGCAGGTGGTGAGGAAGCTTGAGGAGAAGGAACGCCTCCTGCAGGGCACCATCAGCACTGCTGAGAGAGAGTTGGCACTTAGGACACAAGCCTTGGACATGAACAAACGCAAGGTAACACATTATTCAGTTATGATAGCGGCTAGTTGTTACTAAAGAAAATATATCGAGTTCTACAGTATAAGGAAAAATGATATTCCCTTTGAGACTAAAGGACCTCTCTGTTGTCCTCCAGGCTCAGGAATCTGCATTGCTGTCGGAGGAGGTGCGAACTCAGCTGGAGCAGGTTCAGCAGAGGCTTGGTTTGGTCAGAGAGGAGGTGGTTGAGAACAGTATCTCCAGGGAGAAAGAGTCCTTTAATGCTCGACGAGCACAGGTAACAACACAAATGTAATGAGTATGAGTCACTTATGATCCATTGCTGTGTAAAACAGTAAAAATATCAGATGGAAAATTAGCCTCAAAGTAGATTGCATTTAATATAGGAAAAGCAGTGTCATAAGACTTGTGGGAGGAATAAAATATGCTCCTCATTGTCTAATCGCAAATTAGATTAGTGAAATGAGGAACCCTTTGATTCCTCCTCATTGTTTGTGAGCGCTCATTTTTCTTACAGCTGTTAACTCTAAATGTCTTTCAGGAGGACATCTCCAAACTTAGGAGAAAGATTGAAAAGGCCAAGAAACCAGCTGAGAAAATAAGCAATGGAGATGACATCCTAAATGAAGAAATTAATGATTACAAGGTAGGTTTTGATGATACAAAAGAATATAGAATTTTGTATTTTTTTTCCAGAGGAACAGCTCAGTTCGATGTCTCACTATGGGAGCAAGTCACACTGTGATGCTTCCCATCCCTGTCACTGTGAAAATGATACAAGGTCAGTTTAAGCTGCTTTTGGTGGAATGTTACCAGCAGAGGATAGATGTTCCCAGCTTCTTCTCACACTTTCAGTTCACTCTTAAGCGCACCAAGCTAGCTTGTCTGAACATGACCCTTATCTCCCTCCCAACCACCACGCTATTGCGCTTGCAGAGGGGGAGGAGACAACAGAGAGACTGGCCCCTCCAGTCGGAGCTAGCTCCACTTGGAACTTGATCAAGAAGGAGATGGAACCTCAGATATCCTCATGTTGGAAGAGGAAGTTAATTCCCTTGCTACATCCTCGACACACCCATTGTCACAGAGAGTATTTTTGGCTCTTTGTCGGTTTCCATGCAGCAGTGGTGTGAAGCCAAGATGTAGGGTGTTCCCACCTCAAGCAGAGCTCCTGGCACTGTGGGTTTGGTTCATGAATGGCTTGATCTGACCACTCTGGGTCTCCCACTGCTGATAATTGCCACTTTCCAAAATGCTAGAGGCTCCTCCTAAGGTCTCTATACATCTATAGTTGGAGAGCAGTCATGAAATAGTGTCACAAAGAGGGACGCATTCCATAGCAGCGTTTGGTGGGAGTGATTTTTGCCTCTTTTTGTTTGGGACTTGGAGGTAAAATGAAGAGCCAGCCCCCTACTGGTGTGACATATTTATCAATGGAAGTGAAACCATGTCTGTCTCCAGACTGCTGGTGTCCCTGTGGGATTTTTCTGTGGTTCAGGAGGTGCTGAATGTTCCTCTTTTTGACCCACTGGAGGAAGCAGACTTGAAACGGGGCTCTGAAGACAGTCTTGTTACTACCTCTGGCTTCGTCTGAACAGCTTGATGATATCCAGACGGTCTTGGTGTACCCCTTGTTGGCCCAGTTTGCCCTGGGGCATGTACAGATGACATTAAAGTCCAGCCTTTGTGCCTCAAGTGGTTGGTTCATATTGTTTTGCTTCTGGAAAGCAGTGATCACGCTCTTATTCAGTGCAGATTGGCTTCATTTCCTGAGTAATCCTCATACGGCAGAAACCTGTCACACTTCTCCCATTGGGTAGTACAAGTCAAGGTCTGCAGCTTCCTACAAGTTTGACACATGGCCACAGTCATGGCCTTATTTGGGGGAGTTTATATCACAGGTGCAGACTCCCCTGCTGTAGCACAGATATTTTGGGGATTTGAGGTTCTAGACATAATCTTGGGTGTTTGAGGAAAAACGAGTGAGATATCTGACAGCACAACCTTTTTTTCTTGGGTGGGCTGGAAGTTTTACACATTTAGTTTTAATAGTAGGTTGCACTGCCTGGTGTAGAAATGTACACCAATCAGCATTGTCGTGATGACACAAATTCCTGTAAGCTCCCATAGTGAGACATCTCCTTCATATTACTCAATGATGATCCTGCTCCAGAGAGGTAAGTTCTTTCTCCATGTTTCCAGTCTTTGTGCTAAGATAAGATCACCAGTTGCTTCTTGTAATTTAAGACTTCATTAATCATCTCATTTAACCAGCGTCAAACTAGTGTCTAGAATTTCCTTTGACGACCAGCAGTTCCTCGTGCTTTGGATACAAGCACTAAACAAAGATCTGAGGCTAATCCAGATCAACACTTGAACAACACCCGAGTTTGGAAATTGCAGCAGTAATGTCCAGTTGTAGCTGATAAATGTCACAGAGACTGGACATAGTTATCGTTATCACTGTGGTTTCCACTAAATAGGACCACACTGTCACTGTGGTCTCACTTTTATGGCTCGGAGGGACACGGTAAAACACTTTGAACCAACTGAAGAAGATTAAACATCACACACTATATGATATAATTGTAGTCGTCTACATTCAATTTTCTGTAGCTTCACCTGCAGGATCATGGTCAGATTTTTCTTGAGATTGAATCACAAGGGTTTATAATCAGCCTTCATATCATATCGGTGGGTTGCTGACATGAGTAGGACAGTAGAGCTTGAAGTCGTGCCTCTATAATCAAGTGGCCTCACTGCTGCCCTAGATATTTCTGTCCGCTCATCACAAACCATTCATCTGAGGACAAAACTGGCTTCTCCGTTTATTGTTCAAACCATTTCCTCCCTCCCTCCCTCCCTGCCTCTCTCTCTCCCACCTCCAGGCACGTCTAACATGTCCGTGCTGCAACTCCCGGGTGAAGGACGCTGTACTGACAAAGTGCTTCCACGTCTTCTGCTTCGAGTGCGTCAAAACACGCTACGACACACGCCAGAGAAAGTGCCCAAAATGCAACGCCGCCTTCGGAGCGAACGACTTCCATCGCATTTACATCGGCTAAAGCTGCGGCCCCCCTCCCTACCACCTCTGCAACGACTTGCAAGGAAAAGGATCAACGATTTCAGCAGTAGTACAAGCACTGCCAGGAGCATCACTGCACTCAAGGGGCTCCTCCTCTGACTACGTACTTACACATATCTGTGCATCTGCAGGATACTCAGTGTGAAATCCTCTCCTCTCGATGATTCCAGGCTCACTGGGCCGCGTTTGATGCTCTGATCTGAACGCTTTTTCAATTTTTGTTTAGTTTTGAATGAGTGAATTCAGCTCCAGTATCCACTACTGTACTGTGGGTTTTCAGATACTGGAGTGAGAAGAGAGTAGAGAAATGAGGTTTGAGTTTGAGTCACATGCTGAGGTTTGGAAAGAAATGAGTAGTACAATGCAAAAACAGCATTCCTTCCAGTGTAGTGGATGTTTGTAACATGTTGTGTATGTATATACTGTGTCCTTAATGTTTCTTTTTTTTTTCTTTTTTTTTATCTGCCTCTTCTTGCTCCAAACTGTTTTATCTAAAATCTCCAGACTTGATTCTGTGTAATTTGCTGTTGGCTGGTTAATAAATTGCCATCAAAAAGTTTCCTGACCTCTGCTTCCATTTCACTCTTTTTCAATCTGAGATGTTTTATCGGGATCTGGAATATTAAACTACAAATCCCAGTGAGCAGACCAGTGTTTATGCTTGTGCGCAGCGCCTTTCTCTTCCTCCTCCTCCCGACGCATTTGCACTGGGAACATTCGTTAGAAACGCTTGAAGGAAAGGAGTGCCACACGGCGACAGGGGACTGTTATTAAGGTTGAGCAACATAATCCTTCGCTGCAGAACTCTGGATGCTCGCCTTTAGAGACAAAGGGGAACCAAAGTTGACTGGTGCGGAGCTCAGAGCAGGAATAAGAGGATTTAGGAGACTCGTGGTCAGATCCGCGTCACCGCGTTTTTCTCTAACGCGTAAAAGCGAGAAATAAAAAAAAAAACTTAAGACAGATTTCTATTTTTAAAACTTTCTGCGTCTTGGTGGAATCACCACGTGTCTCGGCTCTCTTTAATTCATTCTTACCAAATATAGCCTGTGTAAATGCTGCTGGAGCGTCCTTCGCGGAGCAGACAGAATTTTTGCCGCGTTGCCAAAGTTTATAATTAAATGCTCGGATCATTTTGAGACACACTCTTTCTTTCAGTACCAACACGCCTGACTTGCAGCTTTGTCTCCGGGATAAGTGGATGTTCTAGAAGGTAACAAGGTTCTTCTGTGATTCGTTGCCAACAGGGGCCATTTTTAAGTCTTTGACTCACTTGGACACGAGCTGCTCAACCTGCTCTGGTTTTGCAGCTTTAGCCTTTTTTACGCATCTCTTTTTTCCCCCGAATCACCGACTTCTTTTGTGCGTCTCGCTCCGGATGTGCCATGGCTCGCTTTTTCCTCACCGTGTGCGCCATGCTGCTCGGCTGGCAGGGAGCTGAAGCCGAGCAAGTCGGGGAGAGGCCACCGGCGGTCACCCTCCGCACCCTGATCGCGGGAACCTGCCAGGAGATCCACGGGTACGCGGAGTCTGTGCTGGGAACCGGCGTGGTGCGGTCAGCCGCTGAGGTACAGAGAGGAGATGCTTCCACTTCCACCAGGAAGTGGCTCCACACTCACCTCTTCTCTTCAAACTTCTAACTTCACCGCTTCTCACTGTTATTGATCAATGCTCAATTAACTGGTCACTAATTTATTTTCCACCCCCTCCATGGCCCCCAACTTGTTAATCTCCCTCCTGATCCCCTCCTCTCCTCTGCCCTCATTCTTACATCCATCTCTCACCCACACACACACACACACACACACTCTCTCTTTCTCTCTTTTTCTTCCTACCTGCTTCTTCTCTGCTGTGGCTCCTCTTCCCTCAGAGTGCTGTGTTGTTTCTTGAGTCATTGCTTGGCCAGGAGCGCGTCTATACATTGGCCATGGTAAGAAACCTCCTGAGTGTCTCCATGTAGAGTGTCTCCCTCAAACAGAACCACCTCCCGTGGCTCTGTTTGGCTCCTGTATGTGACTCTAGTTAGTGTAGAGAGTATAGGAGCATGGCTGTAGTGGAGAACATGCCATATTTATTTGACTGCAAGTGGATATTTGCATGCAAGGCCCAAATACCTGTGGTGATCATGCTGTGTATATGTGCTGGTTAGCTGAGAAGTAAGATGAAATAGTTCGAAATGTGGCCAAATATAGGGTTTGGACATGATTCTAGGATTTTAAATTGACTTTTAATAAGTCTCCAGACCAGAATGTGGCCACACGAAGAAGAAAAACAAGTTATTTTGTCCTTGAGGCAAGAGATAAATAAAATGTGATAAAAAGTCACAGGGCAGCGTTTCTTCCAGATCCCTGGCAGGCATCCCCTGCTCCCTGTACTTTGTTGCATTTAGCCTGTCTGTGCATGTGCAGATCTTTTGTCTTCATTTTGTTTTTATGCTCATGCACCTGTAGAAGTTTGTATTTTTTAATGTTGTATTTTATGGTTTTGCTCGCTCTCCACTTGTTTGTCTCCAAAATCCTCAATTCACCTTGGAGGCATGGGCGGCAGACAGGCCACAGGCAGCCAAACAACATTCTACACATAACAACATTTCATTGGCCTTTATATATTCCTGCCTCTGACTCAATGAAACAGAGCAGTTGAGTGTGTTTTTAAAGTGAAGTGTGGCGATAGACACACTGGACAGGCACATATGTGCAAATGTGTAGCGCAACAGGTGCAGATAAGATACCAGACCAACTTCCTGGGCTACCATTGACCTTGCTTGTGTGTGTGTGTGTGTGTGTGTGTGTGTGTGTGTGTGTGTGTGTGTGTGTGTGTGTGTGTGTGTGTGTGTGTG